TGAGCTTTGGAGTGACCGCGGGGTCGCACCGGGAGTGGGCCTGGCTGGTAGAGCGCGTTGGAGGGACAGGGCAGGGGAAAGGAGCCCAGGCAAGGAAGGGTCCTTTCAGCTAACCTTTTGGGATCTCTAACAGAGACTGGGGTGTGTGTTGAAAACAATGAGGTGGTGGTGTATTGCAGGGGGGTAAGGGGTGAGGCTGGTCGCCCAGGCAAGAGTTGTGCTGGAATGATTGTGTGTCAGGTAAAACGGGGCAGGTGTTCATAAAAGATCCCCCCCCCCCCCCCCCCACTGAGGAGGGCTGCTTTGTCTGGACACTCTACTAGGGCTTATTTGGACAGAGATTTCCTAAAGATGGGGAGAAACAGAGTTTAAAAAAAAAATTGTTTTTGTGGATTTGAATTACACATAAAGGTTTCCTTTGGGAAAGTGTGGGTCTGCCTAACGGGCAAAAACATTCCACGAAAAAGGGCCTTTTGGAGTAGCAATTGCAGGGAGTGGATGTCTGCAAGGATCCAGGGGCAAAGTCCCCGCTTGGACTCTATCCTTACGTAGAGAATCCCTGCTATGCCTCAGTTTCCTCATGTGTAAAGTCACTGTACTGAATACATTGTGTATTTAGAATATATGAAATAGAACACTATCACAAGGTGCACTCCCCTTCAGTTTAGGATTTAGTCACTTTGTGAGGGAATTAGTAAGAATCAATGAGCTTAGACATTGACCAAAAGGGAATATCCTAGAAGATGATAACAACACGGGAAACACCCTCATTCAATTGTGGCGAGGGGACCAAATCCTCAGTATGGAACATGAGCAGTCAGAACTATTGGCTAATCAACTACCTCATAAATGACCTAAGGAGCCAAAAAAGAACAGTCTGCTTATGACTAGAAAGAACACCCAAGAGCAAGCACTGGTCACAGCGTCTCTGCCTTAACCCACAAAGGGTGACCCAAACAGTGCTCTTAACAATTCCAGTCCTTTATTATAGCTGGATTTTTCCAGACTCCCATCCTCCTCTGCCCTTCTTGCAACTTACAAAATGGTTTCTGACAGCATTTGGTCTTCTCATGTAGGCATTTCTTCAGAGGAAGAAATGTGTTGACCACATGACATGAATCTTCCAGTCAGCCTGGCAAGTTATTCTTCATATGTTTTCAATATTAAGATTCTGATCAATACACGAGTCTATAGTGAGTTTGGTTGACTTGAGCCAGTCCTTATGATGCAGAACTCTATAGTTTATTGACTATCTTCATATATCCTAGGCTCCAGAGCAGATACTTTTTACCTGCATTTATCATTTATTCCTGACAATCTTGCAGTAGGTATTATCATTTCCATTTTATGGATGGTGAAACCAAGGTTCAAGAGACTTATCATGACTCGTTCAAAATGATGCAATTTCATCAATTTTTAAATACACATCATACATGCAAAAACTGGCTTTGGGTATCTGCAAAACATGAGCTGTGAAAACTCTATTATCCTGTCACAGATCCTCTCTCTTCAAAGGACACAGTCAAGCTATGCCTGGACTTCTGACCCACAGAAACTATGAGATCATAAATGTGTGTTGCTTTAAACGATTGTTTGTGACATTTGGTTATGAAGTAAGAAATAACTAATACATCTACACCACAGAAAAGTGAATCTTTAAATAGAGAAACAGTGTTGTGGTCACTCTCCTACCTGAAACCCTGCTTGGTTCCCCATTTGAAGTATAGAATAAAAGCCAAACTTCACACCAGTGCTTACAATATCCCTCCCAGTCCCTGCAGCCTTACTCATGCCTCTCTCTTCTCTCTCCTTTCAGTTCCTTAAACAGGACAAGCCACTTCTCAGAAAGGCCTTTCCTGAACACATCTTTAAGTACATCCTTCCCTCAGTGATTCTCTTTTTCAATACGCTGTGCTTTTTATAGTACAGATTGTAAATTGTAACGTCTTTATTTACCTCTTTACTTAGTTCTTATCTCTCTTTCATAGACTGTGAGCTGGCAGGGCAGGAATAATTTCTGTCTGATATATCATATCTCCAGCACAGAGCAGGAACTCCATAACTACATATTGAATGAAAGATGGACAACCTTGCCATTCTGAAGAACCACTTTACTCCAATATCGATTCTCCTTCTCCCCCTTTTCAACCCCACTCCCAGCCTATCTCCAAAAGTATAGCCTTTACTTGCTTCCATTTTTTCCCCCAGACCACACACCCCTTTCCTTGTCCTCTCACTTCAGAATTTTAATAACATCTTAATTTATTCTTAAATGTCTAACCCCTTCCACCTTGTATTATGGCTATTTGTGTAGAGGCTGATAGTTTCAAAGATTTCTCCATTGAGCACACTCTGAAGAAAGAGACCTGGAAAGAAGTATAGATGTGTGTTAGAGGTTTGGGGAGAAATGGGTAAAGAGCTAGTGCTAATAGACTTCATAGGCCAGATATGGAGGAAGGAGAAGGACCTAATACCCACCCTCGAGAGATGCAGACTTTTCACTTCCCCACCTTCCCACCTCTACCATCTTTCTGACTCAGTAACAGGACTGTTGCAAATGACCTATAAATGTAATGGGAGGGAAGGAGAAGAGGATGAAAAGAGGTAGATGATGCTAGGTATCATCACCTAGGTATCATTTACCAACATCATCACACTTAAGCTCACGATCTCTCTTTCCATTACCGTCCTCACTTGAAAGACATGAATACTGATGTTCTGAGAATCTGAGCAAATAACTTGCTCATGATCACAAATGTGAAGCTAGTATTCAAAGTCAGGCATGATTCTGAATCACATGCTTTTTTGCTCCTAGTACATTCCACTTCCCACCCCTAGCTTTCCCCTTTGGGCTGAGGGGTACCTTGCTGAAGTTTGGGCAAAGGAGCATGTGTGTATGTGTGTGTGTATGTGTATGTGTGTGTGTATACACAGCAGAGACCAGACAGAAGCATGGAGTGGCTCCCTAGGCTGCTGCCTTTTAATGTTCCTTGAGGTTGCCTGACTCAGTGTCTCTAATTCAGGATGATGCTTTGAACAGGAATGAAGAGGGTGCAGTAAGCTGCATCCCCCTTGAGATATCTCCCTCATGAAGGGAGCACAGAGTGTAGAGCATGGAAGGCGAAGAGCCAACACAGGTCCGATTTCTCTCATTGGACTGGAAGTTCCTGAAGATGAGATCTTTCCTAGGTAACTTGCGTCCCCCATAGTTCCTCACACAGAGCATTCCCAGGAAGCAGGTACACGCATGAGTGAGGTACCAGGCAGCACAGGTCTAAACAACTAGGATACAATCCTTACTGGATTGTCTAGTACAAATCTCAGAAAAGTTACATGGTTTGCCCAAGGTCACATAACCAAATAAAGAACCCATACCAGGTCTCCTGGTGCTTAGTCCAAAGGTCTTCACACTGTCTCTCAAGTCACTGCCCTGCTGTACTCACGGAAGTCTTCATTTGAGTGGCCAATTTCTCCTTGTGCCTATCTTCTCTTTCTTATTGTACTGTTTACTTTCTTCTAGATTCCTACTACTCCCTAAGCAGGATTCTTCTACCCCTAAAACTTCACTGAGCAGAGCATCAGGAAACTTTGACTGAGTTCTTGTAACCTCATCCAAAGAAACAGTGAATCCTAGAACTTGTCAGGCACTGGGGATGGGGATAGTACAGGGAAGCCTCCTAGTATGAGACTCTTACATTGCTCTTTGATGCCAATGAAAAGGAATGGTTCTTTCCAAAGAAGAAATGGTTTAACACAAGTTGGGGTTATTTCCCCCTTCCCATATAGCAGTCTTAATTGAAAACACCCCTAAATACACGTAAGCTATGATTTAAAGAAATAATGAAGTATGAATAAGTGAGGTGTGTCTTCTGAAAGAGGCAGTACTATGGGTGCTGTGGCAACTGTGATTTATTTTTGGTACCATAAAACAGGGTGTCTGAACCTCAGCAGCACTGAAAATGTTCTTTTCCCGTAACTGAACTGTATCCTGTTCTTCTTTCAGGGGCACTTTTTAAGCCAGTGTTTGGCTGAAGAACAGAATCAGTCAGGCAATTCTGCTTGTTCTTTCTACCATCAATTAATCCTAGCAAATGCACAGATCACCAATTTGGTTTCCTGACTTAGAGCTTCAGATATGTAATACAGAACTCAGAACATGTCTGGAGAACCACTGCCATCATGAAGTAAAGTTGAGGCTCTAATCAGAAGGTCCCTTGGAGGTTTGGTATCTACCAACCCTACCTTTTTATATTTTACATTTTATTTTGTATACCTTGTGCCTATGATGCTGATGAATTCTGGCTTCTGCTCTTGGTCTAGTTGACTAGTCCTGGAGACAGATAACCAGGTCCAACTGAGATCTAATCTCTCTTCACAATGACGAGGCTTCATATCCACATGGACAGCAGATCTAACACCCTGATTTGAAATCCCTTCTCTATTCTTGTGGCCTTCCTTTCTCTATAGGCACTTGGCCACCCAGATGCATGGCTTGGGATGCTGCCAGTTCTAAGATTCCTGAACTCCTTTCTCATACCTTTTGCCCTCTACTTCGCTTACATCTATTGAATTCTTTATTTGCCGCTCTGAGAAATCTTTCTCCCTCTCTCTTTATTTCTAATTTTCTAGTTTATGAAGTGCATATGAATCACTCTGGGAAGGAGTTTAACATGCAGATTTTTGGGGTCACCTCCTCCCCCATATCATTTTAACATGCGCACTGATGGTTCCGGTGCAGTTATCTTAGGACACACTTCGGAA